CATACTACTGCCAAGACAAGTCTCCCCTATCCTATAATTATGCATTTGAGTTTTCCTACCCAAATGCAGAACTTTACATTTATCCCCACTGGAATTCATTTTATTTGTTTTAGCCCAGTTTTCCAGCTTGTCAGGATCATCCTGTATCCTAACTCTGTCTTCTACCGTATTTGCTACCCCTCCTAATTTAGTGTCATCTGCAAATTTAAAAAGCATTCCCTCTATTTCTTCATCCAAATCATTTATAAAGATGTTGAACAGAACAGATCCCAGGACAGATCCCTGAGGCATTCCACTTGTCACTCCTCTCCAAGAATATGAGGAACCATTCACAAGAACTCTTTGGGTGTGATCTTTCAACCAGTTACAGATCCACCAAACAGTAATAGAATCCAAACCACATTTTACCAACTTGTCAACAAGAATATTATGTGGAACCTTATCAAAAGCCTTACTGAAATCAAGATAAACCATGTCTGCAGCATAGTCCTCCTTAATCTTGTTGACCTGGCATGTAGATTAATGAGACCCACCAGGCTGTAAAAGTCTGGAAGGGTGGGTCTTTACTTTGTCCAGCAGGGATCTCAGTGCAACTGCAGACCAAACCAGGTGGCCATGGAACTGGGGCTGCATGTTCCTGACTGAGATACTATATCACTTACATTTGGGTCGCAGCCGTGGTTCAGTGGGACAGCCCATTTTTTTTCATGTAGGAGGTCCTAGGTTCAGTCCCCAGTGCCTCCAGTTTAAGGATCTCTATCAGCATGACCAGGAAGGGTCTTTCTCTGCCTCAGACCCTGAAGAGGTGCTGCTACTCAGAACAAACAACACTGAGCTAGACAGGCCAGTGGCATGATGATGCAGGGCAGTTTTGAAGAGGGCCAGTTTGGTGTAGGAGCGCGGACTCTAATCTGGGAGAACCGGGTTTGATTCCCCACTCCTCCACATGCAGCTGCTGGTGTGACCTGGGTCAGTCATGGCTCTCTCAGAGCTTTTCTCTCAAGGGCAGTTCTCAAGAGAGCTCTCTCAGCCCCACCTACCTCATAGGGTGTGTGTTATGGGGAAGGGAAGGGAAAGGAGATTGTAAACGGCTCTGAGACTCCTTTGGGTAGTGAAGGGTGGGGTACAGGGGTCTTTTCGGGCCGGAGCCCACAGCTCTTTGGACTCACAACCTGAACTCACCAAAGTGATCTGTTTTTCTACAGGAAATTTCACAGCTCAAGGACTTCATAGCTGTCATAACAATCATGGGCCCGCCCCCCATACCCACTTTTCTTTCTTCTGTCACTTGTGCACACATAGAAGTGATGCGTCAGGTACCCTGATCCTAGTAGGGTCTTGGAGGTCATCACTAGCAGCATTTTGGATTGTGCTTGGAAATAAACTAACAGCCGCTGGCTTTCTTCTGTCACTTGTGCACACATAGAGGTGATGCGTCAGGTACCCTGATCCTAATAGGGTCTTGGAGGTCATCACTAGCAGCCTTTTGAATTGTGCTTGGAAATAAATTAACAGCCACCTGAGCTGACACACTACTGGTGTTCATGGTTTCCCACAGCAGCTCCATGTTAGAACTCTATTGGCCATGGCCACATCTTGAACCAGTTGCAGTCCCTGGTCATTTTCTGGAGGCAATCCCACATGGTAATTGCGGCATTAGTCCAACAATTTTCATTTGTCCTGTGCTTAAATCAGGAATTTGTTCACAAAAAAAAAAACCAAGATGGAAGATGGCAATTTGTCTGAAATATTCATAAATATAATGTATACTTTATTGAAATTTTACTGGGTCAGTTAAAATGACAGCAGGACTTAACTGTAGTTTTGATCAGTGCTTGAACCGCATCTGTATTATCATTCTTCTATGTGAGCTTATTTATCCTAGCAGAATTTCAGTTTTGAACTAGTTCATTGGTGAAGGCTGAAAAGCAGGTATTTTACAGCAACTTTGTAGTTTCGAGTCCAGTAGCACCCGAGAGACCACGGACATTTGGGGGTGGGTGGGTATGACGAACTTTCAAGAGTCAAAATCTGATTGGTCTCTAAGGTGCTATTGGACTTGAATCTAGCTGTTCTACTGCAGACCAACACGGCTACCCTATGGAACTTGCAGCTTTGTAGTTCTGATACACAATAAAATGATCTCTGTCTACAATTAAGAGTCTCCCCCCCCCTTCTTTCAATGCAGGCTGAAAGAGTAGCAAGAGAAAGGTACGAGAAGCAAGAGGACGCAGCCTATGTTAAACAGAGAGAACTGATTGCGCTGTGTAAGGAGCAGGAATTCCAGGAGTATGCAAAGAAAGTGATTGATGAAGAATCAAAAACAACCCAGAATCTTTACCCTCTTTTGAAAGTAGTGCAGGAAGGTGATGGGACACTTTATAGAGAAAGGGAAGGAATAAGACCTGGTGGTCAGAATTCTCAGCTACTTTATACTGGCAGCACCGCTCAAGAAGTGAAGCTTCTAAATGGACAGCAATATGAGGCTACTAAGGGACGGCTTGGTTTTACGTGGTAATTTTAAAAAATCCTTTAAAATCTCATGGCTTTAAATGGGCCAAATCGCTAAACATGGAGTATAGAAATTGCGAATTTACAATTCAGAACATGAATAAAGTTTGCAACTCTCAAAATACATTTTTATAATCCTTAGACAGTCAATAGTACTAGTTCAGACCCACCAGGTTCACTAAATAATGTGTAGCATTTACAAAATGGGGGAAAAAAAACCCCTTTTGCTTTATTTGTGTGAAATGTTTGAAAAACAGAAGCATAATTCTGTTCATGTTCCAAAAAATTCTGAATTTAATTTTTACTATATTACTTGCTTGTACTACAAATGAACAGAAATAACCTGTATTCTGAGAATAAACTGTCTGTTGTCCATGTGGGATTTAGGGGTTTTGAATACTAAGGATCCTCATTTATCAGCATGGGGGGGTTTAAGTGGGGAGGGACAGTCACAATTCTTTTTTCCTCTGCTGATGGCAGTGTCTGTCTGCTGGCAGAAAACCATAGCTGGATAGAAATAATTATATATTTATTTACTGGCTGTTTTGTATCAAAGACGGGATTCTCAAAAACTATATTTGCCTTAGACATACCAAGCATGTGTGGGAAATTGCCCAGAACAACAAAAGGGAGGGAAACATATCCTTTGCCCTTCACTTCCCCCAGATCCTACATCTAAATGGAGGGTGGAGAGGAAAGAGCTTGCATATAAATAGGAGAAACCTGCATGCAGTGTCTAGTTCTTCCCTAAAGATTAGCATCAACATGGACAGTAAACTAGCTGGTAGTTTTCTGTGCCAGTGTAGAAACATGAGGATATACCTAGTTCTGCCCTCACTATCACTTAAGTATGGTTTATTCATTCTATGAGGTCATTTTAACAATGGGACTATCAACCAATTATTTTAACACACACACCCGACTTTTACGCAGTATTTAGTATGATATAGCAAATATACCCATATAGGTGCTTCTGTTAGGGATAGTGAAGAAACAGTTGCTCCTAAATATAATTAAGAAAGACTGCCTTATACACTGTTTACCCTTAAGAAACATTTTGGAAGTGTAACCTGCAGTCTAAATGGCTGAAAAATAAACCAGTTCAGCGCTTTCAGTGTTGCAGATGAGATCTTGGTTGAAAAGAACGTTGACGCCACTCTCAACACAGTGTTGTGCGAGTCCTTGATTAAATGGTTGGGATTGGTGCTTTCACGTAGAAGTGCAACACAGCTGCCAGCTTGCATTCGCAATGAAGAGAAAGGCTCATTTCATTGTTCCATCACGTTTGTTCAGAGAGGAGAGCAGTGGCCCCCCGCTGTGTGGCCCGGCATGGTTGTGTCCTCATCAGTCTGCCTCACTCATTAAGGTAGGGGCAAATATTTATCTACAATTCAAGATTCAGATGACCCTTTGTAGACCCAGACAGTATGAGTGTTCCTGGTGCTTTGCTGTCTGCTTTACTGGGGAAAAAATCTTCTAAAATAACAGGACCCAGCCTCCCACCACTCCCAATCTGCCAGTGGAAAGTGCTTTCATTTGCAGGTGGGAGAGTGGCAAAATTTCCTCCCAGCTGCTGTCCGTGTCTCTCTCAGATCTCATTCCAGAGGTCTGCTCTCCTCCAGGAGGGGGGAGGAGGCTTTTTGGTAGATGCTGAGGGTCCCACCAGAAGCTTAAAAGTTAGTATACACACACACAAAAAAGCACGCAAGCAAACATGCCAGTTTGGAGCCTGGCCATTATATTTTATTATCAAAGAGAAACAGAAATGCTTTGAAAAATGTTTCCAATACGAAACTATTTGTGGAAACTCATAATGTACTTCCAAAATCCAGTTCTATGTGTGTTCAGTCAACAATATATTATTACCTTTGGGAGAATCTGCATATTTTGGTTGTATCCAAAAAGAGCAAGGCTCATATAACAGGGCTTTCCTTCCTTTGCCCTGAGGCTTAGCAGAACCCACCAGAATTCTGCTCCTGGAGATCGGTGAGCCCTTTACAGAGGGGGGGGGGGCAGAAGACTGCAGTGGAATTTAGGGTACTAGTGTAGTGGCTTACAACAGCATTGTGCAGTGGTTTGGAGTGCTGGACTAGGACCCAGGAGGCCCAGGTTTGAATTTGTTTTCTGCATGGAAGCTTATGGGGCAACCTTGGGCTAATCACTTTCTCAGTCTAACTTCTTTACAGGGTTGTTCTGAGGATAAACTAGAGGAGGGCGAGAACAAACTTGTAACCCTCTTGGAAAGAAAAGTAGGGTATAAATAAATAAAAGTGCTGTTATACTAACAGAAGGGATTCGACATACACAAATTATACTTGGATCAATTCATTTTAATTGGTATAGGTATATTTTTAAAAGGCAAATTGCAGGGAAGGTACCAATTTATTCCACCTACTCTGTGAAATTCTTATATGAAGGCCAATTCTAGCTTTAAAGTTCAATGTCATTTCTTGAAGAGGCAGGAACCAAGGTCTCATCTCTTTGCTTCATTAAAAGGGCCAAACTGTGGGTTGGATCCTGCCAGTCCCCCCTCCCCCATCTCACCCAATTTCCCTCCTTAATATTCCGCCTGTCCCACATGCCTTTTGTCTATGCAGTTCCCATGAACCCCAGAATAGCCTTTTTGGTAGTCTAAGGGGACACACTCCCCTTTTCACCACCAGAAATGTTGGTTGGATCCGACCTGATGCTGCACAGGATAGATGTGATTTAAAACAAACACAAAACCCCAAAAGATGTAGCTATGGTATCCTGCCACTTTTTTCAGAGTAGGGATGTGGTGGTTTGTATCCTTTCTCCAAGACTGTGATAAAAATCACCCTAACCTATTGCTGGGGGAGGGTTGATCTAGAAATTGTAGAGGGGAAAAGGATAAACAACCCATGTCCCACCTGAACAAATTAGTAATCCACCACAACTGCATTACAGTAAGAGAAGCACACACCTATCACAGATCTCCTGGGTATCATGGATTTGCCAGAGTTGCACATGAAAACAGCCTCCCCCAACGCAGTCAAGCTTAAAATTGCTTTACACTGGCTGAACATTTTATGCTGCTGGGTATGCAGTCAGCATTCCAAGATTTCTTTGTATGTCATTTAAGTACCATAATATCTATTTTTGGCTCTTGCCAGTCTCAGCCTTCTTAAAACAAGCAGAGTCCTTCTCAGAACTAAAGTTATCTTCATCAGAAGGCTTATCCAAAATGATTTGGCCCCCGATATATATGAGCTTTAGGAAAAACACAGGCTTAAGTATACTCTGAACAACTGGGTTTCAGATCCTCCTAACAGACTATTAGTACTTCATAAGAACATAAGCCATGTTGGATCAGGCCAATGGCCCATCCAGTCCAACACACTGTGTCACAACTGGCCAAAAACCAGGTGCCATCAGGAGGTCCACCAGCAGGGCCAGAACTCCAGAAGCCCTCCCACTGTTGCTCCCCAAGCACTGAACATCTGCTTGGCATGCATAAGATTCCAAGTTTAATCCCCGATATCTCCGGTTAATGGTTCTGACAGTACGTGATGGGCAAGACCTCTGCAGGGCATACTTTGCCAATAGAGAGCCAAGGGAAGCCTAAACATCTTGCAGAAAATCCCAATAAAACCTAGCCTACTGTGACTTGTTTTAAACATCAAGATAATTTGGGGATTTTTATATTTCATACAACCCACAACAGTGTCTGGGGGAAAAGGAATTCCAGTACAATACCAACATTTTTGTGTATTGCAATCAAAGTACTTCTTCAATAAATAATTCAGATGAATTTATCAGTTTCTTCTGCGCTGGTATGGCACCATCTGGAGGATAGAACCATCCAGTGAGCCAAATGGCTCTTTTTCTATAGTCACTCATAACTAGGAAGGATTCATACAATCACCTCTACCCATTTGCTTTCCGCTTCCAAACTTTAGAGTGTACAGGAAGAAGCCATAGGGAAAAAACTCCTCTAGTTTTTTAAATTACACGTGGAACTATTTTCCCCCCATTCTCCTTTTGTCTCAACACAAATTGGTATGGTTGTTAGTGGAACATGTCACAGAAATATCCACAGACCAATTCTTGTTTAGACATGGTTGCAACCCAGTGGAGTCACCAGATGTGTACAGACCCAGCTTTTTATCGCCTCAACAGTTGCCTCTATAGAACCCCCAATTTTTTTTTAGGGATCCCAAACATAAAAGCAGAGAGAAAGAAAGCGACAGCAAAGATAGTCTACAAGCACAGCACAGAAAGTATTGTACATAGTACAGTTGGACTACACTTGCCAGGAAACTCATGGGGTGACTTTGGGCCCATCACTTTCTCTCAGCCTAATCTACTTCACACAATCATTTGACGATAAAATGAAGGGGTGAAGTTCCTGCGCTGTTCTGAACTCCCTAAAGGGTGTGGTAAAAAAATCTATATAGAGAAGCTTCCTAATGAAGAACCAGATTTTGAAGACATACTATGCATGCACCAACTATGATTTCCTCTTAAAGCAAGTTTTGTGATAACTCCCTCAATTGCTTCCTAAAACGGCCCCTTTTAAAGAGCGATGGGATGGGGATGGACAGTGCAAATATGGACGATCTCAGAAAAGCCAAGTATGCTTAGCTGTCGTGCTTCTCTCTAGAGGTCTCCCATTTTCTCCATATAACAATTATTAATCTTAAATGGAGGCAGCAAACTCTTATTACAAAAAGTCTCTTTCAGCCAAATCAAAATGATCCTTTTTAACTTTAACCAAACTCTTATTACAAAAAGTCTCTTTCAACCAAATCAAAATGATCCTTTTTAACTTCTGACTCTCTTTGAACTGGCTCCCATCATCTAATTGAGAGCCAGTTTGACCAAGACCCTATGAACCACCTCTCTTTGAACTGGCTCTCATCATCTAATTGAGAGCCAGTTTGGTGTAGTGGTTAAGTGTGCAGACTCTAATCTGGGAGAACCGTGTCTGATTCCCCACTCCTCCACTTGCAGCTGCTGGATGACCTTGGGCAAGCCATAGTTATGACAAGACCTGTCCTTGAAAGAGCAGTTTTTGAAAGAGCTCTCTCAGCCCCACCTACCTCTCACAGGGTGTCTGTTGTGGGGAGGGGAAAGGAAAGGAGATTGTAAGTTGCTCTGAGACTCTTAGTGAAGGGCGGGTATAAATCAAATCTCTTCTTCTAATTTTCCAGTTTGATTGGAAACTCCTGACAACTAAGCCTTATTTTTCTGTGACTGTGAACGTGGACAGCTTTATGAAACTCAAGACGTTTTGTATGTCTGCTAGGTAAAGGTTCCCTTGCTCGAAAGCCA